GTGTTTATATATTTGAGTTGAGTCATATTATCATTCAACTTGACACACGTGCGCAAAAGTAAAAGTATATATATATATATATATATATATATATTGTGTATATTTAGGCATCAATTTTTCATTGATGCATGTTTCATTAAATATCATTAAATATAGACAAGTTTTGTCTATTTATTTTAAGTAAGTTCCTTTCATATTGTCTGATAAGCTTAATCACATTATCGTTGAAAGACGAAAGGAAATCACCATATTGATATATGTTTAAATCCAATCTAAACTTTCCGCTTACACAAGCCATTATCAAAGATGACATTTTTAATAAATCAAACAACACACGGACGAAACAACAATGATAGTCCGCCCTTGTTGCATGAAAAATTTCAAAGTAACGACAAACTCGATTATACGAGACGCGGGAGCGAAAATCGCGTCGTAGCTCGTGACGTCACACATGACCACTCGAGAGTGAAAAACGAGAAGTATATATATATATATATATATATATATATATCTTATATATATGTGTATGTGTGTGTATGTGTGTGTGTCTGTGTGTAGAACGTGGCTTACTAAGCCAACTTCTATGTATAAGTTGGTGGCTCTTTGCGCGTGTGTGGGTGTGTCAAAGAATGTATTTCGAGCCTTAACCAGTGAACTATTTTATATTTTTTTTAATATTTTGAAGAAAGCACTATTTGCCGTTAATGTTTGCCACATCAAGTGATAGAACATTAATTGTACTAAATAAAATAAAATTTTCACTTATCTAACCTTCAACACAATCTCCAGTTCATAGCCAGCAGAGTCTATGTTGGACTCTTCCGCCTACTATAAAATTAGTAGGCAGAAGAGTCCAACATAGACTCTTTAGAGGGAGGACACCACAACAATAGCAAAGAATGTTCATAAGAAAGGCGTACATTAGTCACTAAAGTAATAAAAGTACTCCTCAGGAGATTGGCAATGAATTTTAATGGTGTTCTGATCTGTCCAAGGTTGATAGGTCAACTTAGTGACAGAAGCGTCTATAGTTGAATGGAAGGTGTGCATAATGAATGTTTCTTGTGGTAAACTTTTTAGAAGCTAAGTAGGTTTTTAAGAAATTTGTTATCAGTGAGAAAGTTGTCTGGTATTACGAAGAAGACTTGGTGCGTTTTTTTCCGGAGTTGTTAGCGATGCCGTATCTTTTCTCATCACTGCTGAAATATTAATTGAACTGCTAATTAATCGTTCCTGACTATCTACTTCGATTCGAGTCAGAAATGAATAGTAATTTGAGACTAGTGGTAGCCCTCTTATACACAAAATGTTAGAATCTCAAAGCCTTCCAAAATTGTCGCGGTTTTCAATTTCCGTTCTTGTGATTGGCTGAAAATAAGCACGACGTGTTCTCTTCTTAATCGTTTTTGTTTTCCAGAAAATTATTTTTTTTATGGAGCCTTGAACTAGACACAGGCTCGCCATAATCAGACTCAGAAATAAAGCTTATCAAAAAGTCCCCATCTGGACGCCTCATTCGTTGGAAATGTTTTCGCTCTAGGTAATGGTAGGGGCAGAGTTTCAGGGTTTGTTGTCATTTTTTGGGGACAGTAGAAACGTAATCACTCCTGTTAGCTTCAACAAGATGCGTGTTTAGATGTTGTTCCAGATTTTCTCAATAATGAAGAGTAAACGCCGATTTAAATATTTATCATTTTCATTTCTTTAACAAAAGTCTCAAGCTGCTCATCACTACAAAAATGAACTCGCGTAAAAATAGAAAGATGTCCAATAACCCATTTTACTTTTAAAAAAGTAAAATTGTTCATTCTTTTTTCAACGTTAGCAGTTGTCGAGATTACTTCACTTTCTTTACAATGAGATTCGACGGAAGTATAGAAGGATAATTATGGCAAGTTTGTTTCGCGCTGTCGTGCTGAGATAATATGGTGATGCTATCGAAAATGATAAGGAGACTTTCATGTCATTAAACACTGATCAAAATCAGTGTTGCGGAGAGAAAAAAAGCCATTTAATATGATCGAAAGGAAACGGTGAAGATTGCGATAGCTAGAACCATTTTGATGTCAGAAGAATTATATCAATTTTTATAAATGGAAGCCAACGCCAGAGGTCGTTTCAGCCCTTGAAGTTGGTCTTTGGTGAGCGATGGTAATGGAAAGGCTAGAGAGGACAGAGACAAGTTAATAAAAAAAAACTATGGCTGGCAGAAAGGAAGAATATGATGACAACGAAGATGGCATCCATTAGTGACCATTAAGGAAGAAGGTTACCCCAGATAGTTAGGGTGAGGTGAACATAAAAGGAGACAAGTAGGCTTTTGCTATTCTTTCTGTGCTTTGAAGCAAAACTGCATACAGGAGGTTCGTCCATAAAGGAATATATTAGTTTATATTCTGTTTATTGCATGGTTATACCATCACTTTATATATATATATATATATATATATATATATATATATATATATATATATATATATATATATATATATATAGTGTGTGTGTGTGTGTGTGTGCTTACTGTAGAACACACACACATATTCGAGGACTAATAAACAAATATGATACTATTACAGAAGCGTACATAAAACCAGAATATTTAGGAAAAAAAACAGCAATATTTATAATAATAAAAAGTGTATGGACTCAAAGTATTATGATTAAAAAGCAAAAATCATACGCAGGAAATCTGGTATTACTACTACTACTACTACTACTAATAATAATAATAATAATAATAATAATAATAATAAATATAAAAATTGGTTCTCACGAGTTCAGCCCACATCTTACGAAGGGCTTTATCTATGTAAAAAAATGTTTGCGTGTGTGTGTATGATTTTATTTTTAATTAGTCAGTCAAAAATATCATGATGCCATTTCTCATCCTTAGGTCTCTGGGCGGGACCCGGTAAGAAATGTGTCCACGCCAGAAATCAAAAGAAATAAAATAATAATAATAATAATAATAATAATAATAATAATATCATAGAGCTACAAAAGAATACATTGGGCAGATCTGTAAATATCATATTCAAAACGACTCAGCATCAAAACGTCCCAAATGTCCAGCGATAACTCACCTTTTTATTCATTGATAACTAGGCGCTTAAAATTATTCTGTGGTAAAATGATACCAGACACTGTAATGATGATGATGATGATGATGATGAGTATATATTGAAATAAAACTTCTAACAAAAAGTATAAATAATACTCTCTATCAGATCACACAATATAAATCAAGGCTTTCGCAATACAATCGGTATAAACCAGCCGATATATAAATAAAACTGAAATCTAAAATATGACCAAATATTTTGTATAACTTCCTACTTCCTATATATTTTTATTAAAAACTATTTAGACTAAAACTAGATTGGTGAATGTCAGCCTTTAAGATCCAAAGTGAAATGTGAAATTTTATTTACAAATAAATCTAAAATAAACAGACTATATCTGACTAACATCTTACAACAGTAATCAGCGTGTATTGGCCAAATTTAACACATGGACGACAGAGCAGATAGCAATGGAGGAGACTTGGGGTTACCTGACCCAGAAAATTGTGTACATAATATATAATATAATATAATATAAAAGGCTCAAACCCTAATATTCCATGGTTATAATTTATCACATTGGAACCGTAATCACAATCCAATTCATCAGATTTACAAATTCAAAAAGAAATTGGAAAATATAACACTGGGTATATTTTCCGATTTTTTTGAATTTGTAGGTCTCCGGACTGGAGACGAAAGACAATGACTAAAATCGTCAGCAGATATTCTTGTTGTTATATCCCAAGATCCTCGATGTTGCACAATATGTGGAGTTTTATGCAGGTCACTAGCAAGACTGAAGATATATAAGGTGAGCGAGTGCAAAAAAAAAAAGGCTATAAAACGGAACGATATATAAAGAATTTCTATACTTGTTCTATTATAAGATATGGTCATTTCAAAATTCGACCTTCCCAAATATTACCTCTGTAGACATTGTACCTTTTTCTTCAAAAACTGAACGCCCACACAATAAACGTCGGAATTTTCTACAAATGGGAAACAAAAATGTTTTTCACTTATGTCGGGATTCTTTTTTTGTTAAGATGATTTAGCTGAGCTTTCCAACTGAAAATACTTTCAATCGTTATCAATTTATGAATAGATTTTTTCTATTATTCGGCTTGTACATCATATCCTTTCTATTCCGATTATAACAATCGATTACATCGATGATTTTTATGACTTTAACTATGCTTTTACTCAATCGATAAATATAGTCTCCATTGAACTATTCAATATTTACATTAATTTCTTTATTTTTATTTCTCCTTATTTGTTAGTTCATTTGGGTTTTTTTTCTTTCTTTTTACTTTCTTCTCTCTAGATTCATTTCTTTATTCATGATTTTTTTCCTTCATAAAGAGTGTCTGTTTCGGAGGAAAACAAGAATTATTAAATGAATGAAAGTAGATAATGAAAAGATTTCGTAAGAATTTAATTAAAGAATGAAAACAGATGAAGCAAAATGAAATTTGGAAAGAGGAAAAATGCAAGAAGAAGAAAAGAAAAAAAAAGATGAATAAGTTCAAAAGTAAATGTCAATGACTGGAACAAGAAAAGAAGAAAAAAGAAGATTTGGAAAAAAAAGAAGAAAAAACCAAGAAGGAGAAAATATAGAGCATCAAAAATGGAAAAAGAAAAGACATTGGAAAACCAGGGAAAGAAAGAAAGAAAGAAAGAATAAAACGAGAAAAGTAAGAATGAATGAAAAAGTATATTTAGAAAGACATGATGAAATAGAAGAAAAAAAAATACAAATAACTCCATATAAATAGATGGTTCATTTGAAAAAAGAGAAAGAGGAATGAATAAGATAGAAAAAAAGGAAAGTGAATAAATAAAGAAAGAATAATGAATAAATGAATGATAGAAAAGAAAGAAAGAAAGAATAATGAATAAATAAAAGATAGAAAAGAAAGAATAATGAATAAATTAATGATAGAAAAGAAAGAAAGAAAGAATAATGAATAAATGAATGATAGAAAGAAAGAAAGAAAGGCAGTAAGAATAATGAATAAATGATTGATGGAAAAGAAAGAATGAAAGAAAGAAATAAAGAAAGAAAGAATAATGAATAAACAAAAGATAGAAAAGAAAGAAAGAAAGAAAGAATAATGAATAAATAAAAGATAGAAAAAAAAGAAAGAAAGAAAGAAAGAATAATGAATAAATAAAAGTTAGAAAAGAAAGAAAGAAAGAAAGAATAATGAATAAATAAAAGAAAGAAAGAAAGAAAGAAAGGATAATGAATAAATGAATGATAGAAAAGAAAGAAAGAATAATGAATAGATAAAAGATAGAAAAGAAAGAAAGGAAGAAAGAAAGAATAATGAATAAATGATTGATGGAAAGAAAAAAGAATGAAAATAAAATAAAAAATAAAAGAAAGAAAGAATAATGAATAAATGAATGATAGAAAAAGAAAGAAAAAAAGAAAGAAAGGATAATGAAAAATGAATGAAAAGAAAAAAAGAAAGAAAAAAGAAAAGAAAGAAAGAAAGAAAGAAAGAAAGGATAATGAAAAAATGAATGATAGAAAAGAAAGAAAGAAAGAATGAAAGAAAGAAAGAAAGAAAGAAAGAAACAATAATGAATAAATGATTGATGGAAAAGAAAGAATGAAAGAAATAAATAAATAAAGAAAGAATAATGAATAAATGAATGATAGAAAAGAAAGAAAGAAAGAAAGAAAGAAAGAATAATGAATAAATGATTGATGGAAAAGAAAGAAAGAAAGGAAAATAAATAAACAAAGAATAATGAATAAATAAAAGATAGAAAAGAAAGAAAGAAAGAAAGAAAGAAAGAAAGAAAGAATAATGAATAAATGAATGATAGAAAAGAAAGAAAGAAAGAAAGAAAGAAAGAAAGAAAGAAAGAATAATGAATAAATGATTGATGGAAAAAAAGAAAAGAAAGAAAATAAAGAAAGAAAAGAAAAAATAATGAAAGAAAAGAAAGAAAGAAAGGATAATGAATAAAAAAATGAATGATAGAAAAGAAAAGAAAGAAAGAAAGAAAAGAAATAAAGAAAGAATAATGAATAAATGAATGATAGAAAAGAAAGAAAGAAAAGAAAAAAGAAAGAAAAAGAAAAAAAGAAAAAGAATAATGAATAAATGATTGATGGAAAAGAAAAAGAAAATGAAAGAAAGAAAAAAAAAGAAAAGAATAATGAATAAATGAATGATAGAAAAGAAAGAAAGAAAGAAAGAAAGATAATGAATAAGTGATTGATGGAAAAGAAAGAAAGAAAGAAAGAAAGAAAGAAAGAAAGAAAGGATAATGAATAAATGAATGATAGAAAAGAAAGAAAGAAAGAAAGAAAGAAAGAAAGAATAATGAATAAATGATTGATGGAAAAGAAAGAAAGAAAGAAATAAAGAAAGAAAGAAATAATGAAAGAAAGAAAGAAAGAAAGAAAGGATAATGAATAAATGAATGATAGAAAAGAAAGAAAGAAAGAAAGAAAGAATAATGAATAAATGAATGATAGAAAAGAAAAGAAAGAAAGAAAGAAAGAAGAAAAGAAAGGATAATGAATAAATGAATGATGAAAAAAAGAAAAGAAAGAAAAGAAAGAAAGAAAAAGGATAATGAATAAATGAATGATAGAAAAGAAAAGATAAAATAAAAAGAAAGAAAGAAAGAATAATGAATAAATGAATGATAGAAAATGAAAAGAAAAGAAAGAAAAGAAAAAGAAAGAAAAGAAAAAAGAATAATGAATAAATGAATGAGAAAAAGAAAAGAAAGAAAAAAGAAAGAATAAATAATGAATAAATAAAAGAAAGAAAAAATAAATAAAAGAAAGAAAAGAAAGAAAGAAAGAAAGAAAGAAAGAATAATGAATAAATGAATGATAGAAAAGAAAGAAAGAAAGAAAGAAAGAAAGGATAATGAATAAATGAATGATAGAAAAGAAAGAAAGAAAGAAAGAAAGAAAGAAAGAAAGAAAGAAAGAAAGAATAATGAATAAATGAATGATAGAAAAGAAAGAAAGAAAGAAAGAAAGAAAGAAAGAATAATGAATAAATGATTGATGGAAAAGAAAGAATGAAAGAAAGAAATAAAGAAAGAAAGAATAATGAATAAATGAATGATAGAAAAGAAAGAAAGAAAGAATAATGAATAAATAAAAGACAGAAAAGAAAGAAAGAAAGAAAGAAAGAAAGAAAGGATAATGAATAAATGAATGATAGAAAAGAATGAAAGAAAGAAAGAAAGAAAGAAAAAGAAAGTGAAAATAAAAACGCTGAATCTCACAAAAAAATGATATTAAAATAAATTTTAAAAGAAATATGGATTCCTTTCAATTTCATCAAATCTGATTTGCTGCATTTAAAAAAAAACGACAAAAACTGTCTGCTTTTTGCTCGTTTTATGCACCTGTACGTATCACGAATCTATGTCGCAATCATCTTGTCAGGAAACGAACAACCAACACAAAATTGCCATTCCTGGAATTACATTCCCAGTTCTACTTACTTCCTCTTGAAAACCAGTCAGAATCTAACGTCTTTGTTCCACCAAACACGCACGGAAATTTCCCAACGTATGGATCCAGGACGAATGGCAAAACGACGCCCGTTGATTGCCGAACGTCATTTAACATATAGATATAATTAGATCGCGGCCATTAATAGCTGGATTTATAAAAAGAATGGGGGGGAGGAGAAAAATACATTTTTTTTTTAAATAGTTTAATTCTTTATAAATTTATATTATCTTTTCTGAAATTTAAATAAGTATTGTTCTCGCTTTCGATCGCTGTCCCCCAAATTAATTTTTATGCTGACTTTATAAAGAGACGAGTAAAACTATTTGGAATATGAACAATTTGTATTTAAAATTATCGAGACGAAAGACGTGTTCCCTTTGAGTTTCGCGTTAGGATATGTGTAATAGTATCTCGTTGCATCAACTCATAAAGAAAGCATACCTTTATCGGTATAAACTGCCTCTTAACGTAATCCTTTACCTCGAGTGGCTCACGGGTCTTGTCTCACTATAAAATAAAATAACGAAACATGCGTGAGTGTGTGGCCCCAGTTCCCTTATCCTAAAATGTATTCCACATTCTCGTCTGTGATGTAAAAAAAAACTACTCTCCACTCTGGGGTGGGAGCTTCTGCTGTGTCTTTCCCATTCCTGTCTATCAAGAATTCACCAGTCGATGCAGACACTGACATCCTGTGAGGAGCGAATTGGTGTTCAGGGGGTCATTTCATGCCAACATGTCAATGTACCAGGTTTCTCTGGGGTTACACTAACTGCAAAGTGTGTTCCATTATCGTCTGTAGTATCACATATTTATAAAAGTGCAAAACTTTAAACATTTTACTAATACAGGAAACATTCGACATTAGATTCTTTAAAATTTATAAAATCTTTCTGTTAAAATATGTTTTTCAAGTGCAATATTTCTCAAGAGAGTTATCTATGTAAAATGTGTGATCATAGGCTGTAAGAAAAAATATCAGTGGAAAATGTCATGAAGCCATTTCTGACCTTAGGTCTCCAGTTGGGACCCGGGAAGAAATGTTTACACGTCAAAAATCAAAGAAAATAATAATAATAATATATGTCAGTCTTCTTCCACTTTCTCACTCTTTTTCATCATATCTTTCTTTCTCTCTAGGCATCTGTTGCTGTTACATTTTTTATTTATTTTTATTCTCTCTCTCTCTCTCTCTATATATATATATATATATATATATATATATATATATATATATAGATAGATAGATAGATAGATAGAGAGAGAGAGAGAGAGAGAGAGAGAAAGAAAGAGAGAAATTCAAACATATATTGTTAAATATAACAAACAAATAATGTCTATTATGTTTTATCATGAACCGTTCAAGGCGTTGTATAACGGCTTTAGTTTCAACAGAAAATAAAGAGAAAAACTGTCCAACCTCTGGATATTTATTTATTATATTGGTCGTCGATCTAAGCTTTTGACTCACATGAGTCAACATCAGAGTGGTTATATGGACATAACAGAGATGTGCACCGTTAAAGATAACATCCTGTTTTGTTTACATAGAAGTTTGCGACGATACCGGTCGCGGAATAGTAGACGCAGGTCCTACAAGTCGTATTGCGGTTCTTTAATGATCAAACATAATAGATATATTATATTTAACAATATATGTTTGAATAATGATCTACTCCACCTATACACTATATATATATATATATTAAGAATTGGACAAAGTCCGACAATTTATTAAAGACATTTTTATGTTTATTATAAACAGAGCATTTACTTAAATACTTGTATCTATAAAAAGAATGTTAAACATAAAAATGTCTTTAATAAATTGTCGGACTTTGTCCAATTCTTAATATATGACGTCATTTGTTTACATTTGATACGCCATGAGCAGTTATGAATGTACGAGATTCATGGAAGATTGAAGTTTATATGCAGTAAATTCGACTTTGCCTTCGATCGCTCCTTTGTGGCCGAGTCGGTTAAGGCACGTCAGCGTAAATGACGTTCCGTATAGGATACAGGTTCGAATCCTGTCAAAGGACGAATATTTTCTATGAAAATTTCTCGGATATTCAGGCCGGTAAATGTTATTTAATACTGTTTATCATAAACAGAGCATTTACTTAAATACTTGTATCTATAAAAAGAACGTTATACATAAAAATGTCTTTAATATATATATATGTTTGTGTGTGTGATTAAAATGAAATATGGTCCACATGGATAGATTTAATAAGCCAGTTAATGAAATTTGAGGAATAAAGAGACAACAAGTTGATAATAATATTATCAATAAGACTGATAATATTTAATATATACTAGCCGAATTACCCGCACCTTGCTGCGTGTAATTTTTTTTTTTTTTTTTTTTGTAAAAAAAAGTTTGATTTTAAATCATTGGTAAAATTTGTGGAGAAAAACAATGCATTTCAAAATTACTCAATTATTTTGCCAATGTGTCCTCCATCTTCTGACTTTCTTCTTCTATATTTTAGATAGGAGTCATTCCCTTGTTTAAATTTAAATTTAATTTAAATCAAAGAGAAAATACATTTCAGTGGGGGATTTGTGAAAAAAACAGCTTGATCTGACTCCTTTGATATGTAGTTGATGAAATACTAGATTGAATGAATTAATGAGCAGATTTCAATATTGATATGACAGTTGAATTGTCGCAACAAATATGTATTGTAAGGCACTATCCACTGATTGGTGATTTTTTGCTCAACTTGACGTGCATTTTGGTCTCATTTTGATCTTCCCAATGTAAGCTCAATCTCCTGGTTTTCTCTTGTTCATATTTAAATTTAATTCAAATCAAAGGGAAAAAATTTTTCAGTGGGTGGTCCCCCACGCACACACACACATACAACCCGGGACTCCCTTTGATCAAAATGAAATATACTTATTAGTTTTAGAATATATGTAGTTATCCAAAACCCTAGGAGGAGTTCGATAACAAACAGACGGACAGAGGTTACAACTTGATAGATAGATAGATAGATAGATAGATAGATAGATAGATAGATAGATAGATAGATAGATAGATTAGCCTTTTGCCGAAACTGAAGCGCGAAGAGAAAGACTTTAAAGTTGCAATTTTCCGACAAGCCTGTGTCCCTTTTCAACGAGATGAGAAATAAACAAAGAAGTGGAACACGTCATGAATACCGAGCAAGTGCTCAAAATATGCATAATTTTTAAACTCAACACAAAGCAACACCGATGCTGTATTCTGTGAACATTGAATTGATCTACTTCTTTGCTAAAACAAATCCATCAACGATAAGCTCTTGTATAAACCAACTTTGGGGAAAAAAATCTGTCTCATCCGATGAGGAATGTACTTAGATAATATTACGAGAGGAGCTGCCAACCGTCGATTAATATCCGGTTTACACATTTTATACAAGTTCTTTAATTTTACTCGAACCAGATTTGCTACATGTGCCAAAAGCGTATCTAATTACAAAGCGAACGTTTCATTTATTGTGCTTTACATATGTACAACTCGTCCAATTTATACCAGACGTCCTGGGTATGACGATAAACTACATCCGGCAGCAAAGATTTTAATCGGGAAGTTCTGAGGAGCATAGAACCCCCTCTTAATTGCTGTTGTTCTCAGGTCCACCCTGACCCAGGGTGGTAGCACCTGTCAGGGCCCAAGCTAAGGGCAAATAGTTAGCTCTCAAACTGTGGTTAAAAGACTATGAAAGTATCAAAATACAATGAAAGTATTAAAAATGTTTTTAGTAAAAAAAATACTAGCAATACATTTTCTTACTAAGGAAAATATTAACAGCAGTATATTTTTATAAAAAAAAATACCAGCTGTATATTTTTTGTCAAATAAATTCCTAATGCTCCCAAGAGAATTAAATGTCTGCATTAAATGACCCATAAGGTGTTGATGTTCCTCTAAACAAAAACACAGCTTATGTCAGAATGGGCTTTGCACTCAGTGTAAAAATGTATCAGCGAGTTCACCTTAGATATTCCCTTCTAGCCACCAGGTGCACACCTGCATTTTTTAATTTTTTACCTCCCGAACATGTGGATATGTAGTAGACCCATCTGCGTTCGGAAGGTGAATACGTGGGAGAAACCGGATGACAAGTAGGTATATAAGCACCCACCCTAGAGCGGATATATCTTACATCCTCACAAGAATCAACGTTCTGAGAAATCTCCATAGTGACACACCCACTCGCTGACAAAGCCTATATTTGTATAAACAATAATGTTACGTAGGTGAGATTTAGTCACGTGATTTTATTAGACCTGTACAACGATGATTTTACACGTAGATATGGTCGGTTTTCCTAAAACTAACAAAAAACTAAATGGAAAACGATGAATCGCATCTTATTTTATTCCGACCCAAACGTTTCGTTTTATCCCCTGGTGAGAGGTAAAGAAAAAAAATTTTCCTTCGTCATTTAATCGAGCTGCTTGATTTCATGTCATCTACTTGAAACAGCAAGCCATCTTTCGTCAACTGATTTTTCTATTTCAGTTGACTACTCGTTCAGTCGTATCGCTCTACGATTGGTCAAATCTTTTATGATTCAACACCCCATGATGAAGCAAAACGTCGTATCCGTCTCTATTCCCCAAGGGTGTTACTAATGGGCTCTTAGTCGGGGTTTAATTTTTGATCCAAGGTCTCAAAACAACTGTATTTGCATATATATTTCCATGTATAATTCACATACGAGAGTCGTTTCAAAAGCTCTAAGCCTCACCTAATAGGAGTAGAGGAAACAAGACATATTCACTATTTTTTACTGTTTTTGCTGTGGTGTCCTCCCTCTAAAGAGTATGTTAGACTCTTCTGCCTACTATAAGATTAGTAGTAGAGAAGGCCTCAAGATGTTGCGACCAAGTAAATAGATAAAGAAATAACAAAACAAGTGTTACAGAGATATCATATATTAAACAGTAAGTACAACAGAAGAGTATTACACGACTAGTGAGTGTGTGTCGGTTGACCCAGCGTTCGACTGTTAATATTTAACAGCCCCCCCACGAGGGTGTATGTGGCACAAGGCCGGTTTATTGTGGGTACTCCGAGCCCGTAGGCTCGACCAAAAATATTCCCATTGAACCCGCCTAGACGGGTTCAGGTACTGTCTATCTGCCCGGAAGAAACTTTACCCTGCGGCATAGCTTCGTCCGAGTTCCTCTCTGCCGAGGCTTAGAGTTTGACAGTTGAACAGTCTATGCGACATTTATATTTAACAGTCCCCCCACAAGGAATATATGTGGCACAAGGCCGGTTTATTGTGGGTACTTCGAGCCCGTAGGCTCGACCAAAAATATTCCCTTTGAACCCGCCTAGACGGGTTCAGGGACTTTCTATCACCCCGGACAAAACTTTACCCTGTGGCAAAGCTTCGTTCGAATTCCTCTCTGTCGAGGCAGAGAGTTGGGCAGTTGAACAATCTGTGCGACTGTTCCCCCAAGGCCTTCTCTCCTACTAATTTTATAGTAAGCGGACGAGTCCAACAGATTCTTTAGTGGGAGGACACCCAACAATTTTTCAATATAGTCCCCTTTGACATCAATGCACTTGGTCCGACAATGCTTAAGCGTTGCAATCCTATCATGGAAGAACCTGGCGTCCTGGTACTCGAAAACCTTCTCCACAGCACATATTATCTCATCATTGTTTCCAAAATGGCGACCAAGCAGATGGAATTTTATTAAGGAAGAAGTCAGATAAAGCTAAGTGTAATGAGTAAGTGGGGTAGGTTAGCCAGTGTTAGCTGCTTCTGCTACTGCAACCTGAGACGTGTGAACAGGCGCGTTATCCTGGAGCAAGACAACTCCAGCACTCAGCTTTTCTCTGCGTTTCGACTTGATTGCTTCCTTCAGTAGTTTTAATTTTGATGCATAGTAATGTCCATTAATAGTTTTACCCATTTCCCAGGTCCACTCGGTTTTCTGTATTGATAGAATAGTGTCTATAGCTATGCATTGTATTTCTTTCGTAGGTCATACGGTTGGAATATTTCAAGTACCGCATTTTCCCGCCTTTGTCTTGTCTAGTTTTATTACGAATTATGAAATATATTTCGTAAGTTCGTTTCTAAATTGATTGAATTCAATCTGGGCGCAATTTCTCCGTTATCAGTTCTCCTGAAAAGTGGGGCTGGTTCGACTGTTGTTGGGTTACGGTTAGGATAAAAGGACAATCAAAAGACCAAGACTCAAAGAAAGAGAAAATGGCGTTAAATTTAATTTATTTAAAGAGATTTAACAGGAAAAGTTCACAAAGAATTTGTTCTAAAACCTTGTACCAATTTGTTCTCAGTAAATCATAAGTTATGTACTTTGTGATATAAATAATAGGTTAGATTGGATTGTCTTAGGATTACATCTTTGAAATCATCATGTACAACCCAAACTAGAAAGTATTTCAAAGTTTATCAGAACATTTCCTGATTGAAAAAAAAATAATGATGCATAATCGATTATCTGTTGACAGACTAAAGCCTTACATTGAAGCATTTGCAAATGAAATCATTTTCTAGGGAAAATATCAGAGATTACACACATAATCTTTCAAACAATGTTAATTTATGTACAGATAAGAGTGTGTGAACCATTATTATTATTATTATTATTATTATTATTATTATTATTCGGTTTTATCATTACTATAATGTTCACGAAAGAGGCTTACATTACATCTGTCTGATGATAGCTCCATTAGGACCTATTTAAATAGACACGGAAATCTAACAACCTTTTTTGAAAATAATACTATAATAGACTCATCCACATGGAAAAAAATTGTTCAAAATGCTGTAAGCATTAATAATAACAAAGAATAATAATATAATAATAATATAATATAATAATAATAATAATAGAATAATATATATATATATATATGCATGTATACCGATGTATATCGATATATATATAATATAAATTAACTGATTTAAAATATGTTTTTTCGCTACACAGTTCTAACCATGTTTCAAAAATGGAAGCTAAAAGCTTCGAATTTAATTTAGTAATTAAATTAAAGACATTCGTTCCATTTCATCCTCAAGCGAATTTTAGAGTAACTTATTTTTAAAATTACTGGGTTTTAAAGGCACTGCAAAAATTCATAATTCACGTTTCCAAAGATACGGAGAAATCCATTCATCCAGACAAGGGGTGGTTGCTTGTTCATTATCGCTGTATTTTGATGTATCAGTTATTAGTTACCTTTCGGTAGGCGTATGGATGTATTTTTCAAGAAATCTGACATCCGTTAAATGCATGTCGTCTGGATTTGTTTTTTTAAATTTTATTGTTAACGGCAAAAAATCTTACGGCATTTTTTCTATTTGTATGCTTAAGGATTTGAGTGGGGGATGTTTAGGTTAGAATACGTTTTATTTAACTACGATTTCAAAAAAAATTTTCACTTTTAATTTTTAATATAATATATTTCTTTTTAAAACAAGTAAATGTATTAGAATTACTTACAGTATGTAAAATTATTTCACATCAAGTATAAGTATGTTTATTACCAGGTCACAATTTTTTTTAAATTTATATTTAAATATTATTTAAGTAACATTTATGTAAATAACGGCAAAAATAGCTAATTCATTTCTCTGATTTAGTAAACTTTATTTTTTATAAACTTAGTAATATATAATTTCTCGTGTATGTACAAAGGACATGGGTCATTCAATGGCCTACATCTTCTAGCTTTTCATTATAATTTCATTTTTCTTTAGGTGTTTTATTGGATTCATTTAAGTGCCGGTAGTACTTTGAGAGAGATGTTTAGGTTAGAATACGTTTTATTTAACTACAATTTTTAAAGATGTTTAGGTTAGAATTCGTTTTATTTAACTACAATTTTAAATACAACTTTAAAATATTTTCACTGTTAATTTTAATAGACTATATTTCTTTTAAAATAATTAAATGCATTAGAATTACTTACAGTACGTAAAATTATTTTTAAAGTATGTATATTACCAGGTCACAATTTTTTAAATTTTATATTTAAATCTTATTTAAGGAATATTTATGAAAATGACGGCAAAAA